AAATCTGTGGACTCTTTGCTTGTGGACTCTGGCCTCCAGATATGTGAAGCAGAGACTTGTGTTTATTAAGCCACCCGGTGTGCAGTATTATGACACCCAAGCACACTCCTATAGTACTGTAATAACTTTCTTTTTCTACTATGATGTTAGCACAAACCTAGTAGCATAAGAGAATACAGATTTATTATCTCACAGTCCTATAGGATAAATGTTGAAAATGGATCTTACTGAGCTAAAATCGAGTTGTCATTATGGCCACATTACTTTCTGGATGCTTTATGGAAAAAATGACTTTCCTAGTTTCTATGTAACAACCATATTTTTGGGCAAGTGGCCTTCATTCTCCATCATCAAAGCCAACAATCTTTCATCTGTCCAGCTATTCTTCCCCCATTACATCCTTTTCTTGGACTCTCTTCCTCATCTCTCTTCAAATGTTAAAGATCGACTGATAACACTGGACTCACACAGATAATCCAGAATAATCTTCCTATTTAATGCCATTTGAGTGAGTCTAATGTAACAGATTTCACATGCAACCTTATTCCTCTTACCCTGTAATGTAACACTGTTTCAGAGAATTAGGATGTAGATGTCTTTGGGGGAAGAGCATTATTTTGCCTACCACAAGTCTTACTGCAAAGTTGTTGGAGAGTTCCTTAAAGAGCCCATCATTCAGGAACTGGAACAATTGAGGAACTCTTGTGAATCCCCACAATAAGGACAGTCAGATTTCTTCTCACCAGACCCAGAAATTTTCTATTTATATAGATCAAGTAGTTCCTTAAGAGACCACCCCACATTCATTTACTTCATTTTTTGATAATTATTTCGCATCTACTTCATTTTTTTGATAATTAATATAGAAAATTAACTCTCCTTCCTTCTACAAATGTCCTGCTCAATTGTCTTTTTGCCAAACCCAATCAGTAGCTAGAGGTCTAGGGGGCCACTTAGGGAAACTAGAGGGGTGAAGGAAGGAGGAGAGTGGGTCCTGCATAATAAGTGAGAAATTTCCATCTTTTGATGGAGACCAGGAGGCACAGGTCTATCCTTCCTGATGAATAGATTTCAAAGAAATAGCATTCAAGTCCTTGAGAAAGATTCTCCTGAGTTATAGGAGATGTGAATACAAAGGGTGAGAGAGAGAGGATTTGAAATTATATATCCTTCTTATCAAATGTTCTGAGAAAGAAAGGTCAGGTGGAATAAACAGTGAATTCTGTTGATAACTGAACTTTCCAAGACAGGAAATCAAAGGGGGCCTGGCTTGCCCCATGGGCGTGCCTTTAAGCTGCTAGCAGCCATGACAAAGTTTGGTGAAATCTCCAAGTGCAGGGTTTTCAATAGAGTGTGCCTGGAAAGTAAGTGTCCTTACAGTCCATATTATCTTCCCCACATGGTTCTTGGTTAGAATTTGCCAGTGAGTGGTCCTCTCAAGAGACCTGGGCAACAAAGGACAAAGGGACTTTTCTTCTCTGATTGTAAGCAGATGAAAGAACAATGAAAGATTTGAGCTTTAGAGACACTCCTGAAAATTATCAATAGTAACTTCCAGAAATATAATGGAGGGAAATGGGGATGTATAGCATATGCAATTATGTGTGTTCAGGAAGGCTAAGTGACCCATGTGGCTTATTGGAAAAAACTTCATGGAACAAATATTCTAGTAGGGGCTCTGTCACTGTCAGGTGACCCTAGATAATTTATTGAAGGGACTTTCAGTTCTCTCATTTCAAAATAAAGCGGTTTGGCCTTGAGAATAAAAAGATATGAAGCATGTGAAGTTGTTATAAAGCAAATGGTATCCACACTGCTTCAGTCCACTTGGCTATGGTTCAAGTCCCATTTTATTTTTGAGCCCCTAGGCAGACATCCTATAACAATTTCAGAGGCTTCTGGGTAAGAATTTGCTTGATGCATTTTACTCAAATTTAAGTTAAAAGACACTTTTTCAACATTTAAACTTTGATCTAAACCGCTTGGTCTTTCATCACAATTTTGAAGCCTTACTTCTCTAAACTTGATGCATGTGCATTCATGTTTTTAAAATAGCACAAGAAATAGGCTCACATTCACTTTTTTCCTTATATTTTTGTCTTTTTAGTAAGACAGGATCACGAGGAAAGGGTGGTTGTGAACATTGCTCCTGGTAGACAGCTGAGCTGGCAAGGAAATTAGTCACTAGCACTTTGCCTATATTTTACTTTTTCGACTTCCCTAATTGCCTAAGGAGTGTGTGACTTTAGGGTGGGGATATACTTGCTTGCCTTTCAGTCTGAGGTCTCATGTTCATCTGGCTAAGAGATGGGTTGTGTTTAATGGCTGCTGTAGGTACAGCTGTCAGGGGCTAAAATTTCCCCCACTGGCTTTGTTTTTGTGTCCTCTATTGTCTTTGGGTTTCCCTTCAGACTTCCCTTAAAAAGGACCCTAGAGGCTTTTTTAGTTGCTATCCCCTGGTGTAACACTGTAGCTGCTGAGGAAGTGGCAAAGTTTGGGGGAGGAGAAGCAATCTGTAATTTTAAGCATTAAATCTTAGTCTTGTAGTGAATCCTTTTCCTTGCTTGGATTGTGACCTGCACAAGTGTTTCTTGGCTTTCTGTGTTTTTAAAAAATTTAGTATTATTATTTTTCTATTCCCCTATCCAGTTGGACTGACAGGCCATCAGGAACTAGAATTGAGTAATTGCCCTTCAGCTGTTCAGGTAAGGAGACTGATAAAGTGTTTTCAATGGAGACTAGTTATTTGCTATTGAAAACACTCAGGGTATATTTTTAAATGATTGCATTTCCCCTACCTCTGCCAGAGACATTGAGTGATTTTTCTTAGCTCTACATTTTGAAAGCCTGATGGGATTCCTGGAGGTAAAGCCCATGAATATTTGAGGGGGGTGTGCCCTGAGACGGCAGCCCCTAGGAGTCTTTTGTTCTAGTGCTGGTCTACACTCAGCCTTCTGGAGTTTGCCAGAATTTCCTTTTAAGTTTTTCTACTAGGTTTTAACCTCCAGTGGCTTTTTGCAACAGGAAACTGGTGTGATTCTCTGTATCTGCCCATCTCTCCCAATGTCAAGATGGTGATTTTTCCCTGAACCTCAATTCTTTGATGGGTCCAAGAAAAGTCATTGATTTTCAATTTGTTTTGCTCTTTTCTTGGTATGGCAATGTTAGTAGCAACTTGTGAGCTCTTTAGGAATCCAAGCTAGAACTCTATATCTTCTATACACTTTCTTTGAAATGCTGACTGTGTGATATAGTCTAGTGTTTCTCAAAGAAAAGTAAATATGTTGGTCCCTCCACCCCAAAGAATGTTAATTATATTACCTATTTACACATATAAACAGAACTATAATAAATGAATGCATATAGATAGTCCATGTTTATATATGTAGAAAGAGTGAGAGATTTTTGTAATGAACAATTAGATTGGTGAAAGGGTGTGGAAGTAATCAAATAGAGAAGTGGTTAGCATTGTGGAAATACATCTTATACGTAACCATAGTACAGAGGCATACTAGAAATAGAGCCCACTCTGACCTAAAAAAGTCCTCAGTAGGAATTCTATGAATTTTGGAAAGTTGGTGTCTTGGCTTCTTTTTCCCAGAGTCTGATTTTTCTAATCCCATACTTGTGACAGGGTGTTCAAATTCAGCAATATAAAGAAGGAGTTCTTAAACTCCAGATTTTGAAGAACCCCAAAGGATCATATTTTCCAAAGATATATATATATATATATATACAAGTGTTCGCAAGGGAAACGGAGTAAATTTGATGTTAGTTCCTTGTCAAACTTCACCAGGAATTTCTTGATAAACCATTGTGACAAAGGAATAGCCTAATTAGCCTTCAGACCAGTCCTGCCTGGCTCAACTTGTGATACCACTTCATGTGGCTAAAAATCATGTGGCTTGTTTTAATGCTTCTCTTACTATTTGCTTTTATTTGTTAATTTATTTTTTCTATGGAGCTGGGGATAGATCCCAGGGCTCCACATATGCTGGGCAAGAGCTCTACCTGAACTGTATGTCTCCTGTTCCACTATTAGCCTTTTAGTGACTCAGCAATGTTGTTGGTTTGTGTCTCTCAAATGCTGTGCACCACTCTTGAATTCTTCCTAGCAGCCATACTGTCTTCTGAGAGATGATGTCTATGGGCTTGACAGTTTGGGCTATCATTTATGAGGAATTATAATCCCGTCCTGTTTAGACACCAAAAAGGGCCTGTGGAGTAAAAGTAAACACATGCTCCCAGAACTATTATTTATAAAATTTAGCTCATCAATGTCATGTTGAATGCTTTCCATGTGTGTCTAATTTGAACTTGTTGAATGTTAATAATTAAACAAGTTAGAATGTATGCAACTGTGACAGGGCAGAAAATAAAGGGCTTTCCTCTCCCATGTCCCCATGCTTGACACCCTCCTGCTACTAGGACAATAACTTGTTAGGGGCTGAAAAGAGAGATGATGCTAAATTCAGTACACAGAGAGTCAAAGTGAGCATTCTTTGATTATTACTTTTATTTACTAAGCCTCATATCCTTTCCTTTTGTGTTTTATGCTTTAGTGTAAGGATAAAAGGTACAGGAGAAAGATGAAACAAACATGGTCTTCTTTCTATATTATATAGTATGAAAGAAGAGTTAGTGGGACTGATGAATGCTAACAGGGGGCATGAATAACTTATTAAAAGGGAAAAGTCAATCTCTTATAAAGTATGCACCCTGTTCCAATACCCTTGTTGCTTATCATTTTTAGTTCTCTCCCTCTTTATTTTTACATTCATTCATTCATTCATTTATTTATTTATTTATTTATTTATTTATTTATTTATTTATTTATTTATTTATTTATTTATACTGTCTTACATGGGGAGAAGGAATGAGTTATCTGACAAATTTAGATTTTGCAAACCAGTGCATTGATGAGAGCACTACTGAAATACATTGCTAAGAAATTTTTCAACACAGGAATGTGTCATTTCCTTTCTTCATAGACCAGATGCTGAAATACTATGAGATAAAGATTTTGGGTTTCAATTGTAAAGAGAGGGAAGTGGACAAATCAGAGCTGCCTTCTTTACAATCAACGGTAAAAGATACTTATTTTTTCCCTCAAATTGCCTTTATTGATTGCATGAGTCTGGTGTGTGTGTGTGTGTGTGTGTGTGTGTGTGTATGAATGATAGAGAGTGAGAGAGATACTAGTGATACTACATATGATCAATAGTTCTAGTATAGTGTTTTATTCTATCACTAATAATTTGCTTTCATTGTTTTGAATGGTAAAATATATTTCTGTTCAGGTTTCCATGAGTGAAAAAAATGGATGTGTGTGTGCAAAATACACTAAATACTTTGTAGTTTAAACTGGAAATTTTTTGTCATAAGATTATTCATATTTTGTTAAAAATATTGGCTTTGTTCCAAGTATGATTAATGAATTTTCATTCTTCTTTCTTTCCTTTTCACCTGACACTTTTGGCTATAACTTTAAGGGGTTTATGATCCTTACTTGCTCATAGAGCAAATATTAGCTGATTACCTACTATATGCCATTGGTTGAACTAGATGTGAGGAAAGGTTACAAGAGATGAAATACATTTTTATGTGTGTTTTTAGGAATTACATGATCTAGTGCATGTATCCAAACAGGTGTAATGCAGTTTGAACACCCTAAGGAGCATAAAGGTGCTGTAGATAACTCCTAAGAGAATATAGGAGAAGCCAAATTATTTCACAGGAAGAAAGTACTATTAAAAAATCCTCATAGAGATGCTAGAATTTAGGTTCATCTTTAAGACTGGGCAAGATTTACACAGAATAGGATAGGGGTGGTTGTTGTCACCGGCCATGGTAGAAAAGTCACAGGACTGAGATTCTAAATGTCTTGTACAGTGTTCAGGAGTTTTTGTTTGTAGTAGCTAAGGGCTGATATTCTGCAAATATACTGCCTGTTTGCATTTAAATCTCCACACCCCACTTCAAGTTATATAATATTAAGGAGTTACATGAAGCTTCAGTAAGAATAAAATATTTTAAAAATGAATTTTAAAATAATGGTGATTTATTTGCTGATGCTTTCTGTGTACCAGGCAATTTATTGATTGATTGGTTTGAGAAAAAGGAAAAAAGATTTATTGCTTTGCTCGCAAAGGAGAAACACCTGGGACTCCTGTCCCAGAGGCTGTGATTCTGCCAATCAGCAGGAACAGGTGGCTTTTAAAGAAGTAATTTCATGTATTCTCTGTTGGAGTTGTAATTCAATTGATAATTTGGGAGATAGTCATTTCCGAGATCTGGTACCATCCCCAAACCCTGGATTACTTCTTTCCTATGGTGAGTATGTACTCAAGGACAGATTAACTATGTCTAGAAAAGAGAAGAAAGGTAATCGTGCTTCCCCTGAGATTAGGGAGGGGGAGAAATTAGGGAGGCGTAGGAAGAGAGGAAGAGAAAGAAACATGTCCTATTTAAAAATAAGTTTCAGTGGCAGAGCAGCAAGGGATATATTCCAAGCATAAAGTGGACCACTGTTACATTTCCCCACTTTCAATTTCTACATTCCATTTCTATGGAAAAATGAGCATTGGTATCTCCAAGCTGCTTCCTGCTGAAAGAGGGCAAAGTTGAGGAAAGTAACCCAAAGTCCTTGTTCTCTATCAGGTACAGCATGGACAGTTAAGGGTAGTCAGCATCAGAGCAGTCCAGAGGTCCACAGTGGCAGGTGGCAGGTGACAGGACAGGATATATATACGGCAGGGATCATGCTAAGGAAACAATAATCCTAGACAGCAAAGCATTACTTCTTTGTAAACACTTAGAACATAAGCAATTAGTTCTTCAGCCAGTCTCTGCAAACCATGAAGACAGTAACTCAGAATCATATTTATGAAAAAGAGATCAAGTTTATCATTGTAGGAGGAGAGGAATATTTGTAGATCTTGAAAATCAGACTCAAATTAACTCAGGACAAACTTGAAACTCTAGAGTCTTTTGTGATTATTATTGTTAGGCACTCCCACACAAGTACTCTTTCTTTATAGACTCCAGCTTTACTTACCTTTGTTGGGCTGACACAAGTGTACATCTTAAGCTACATTAAAAAAAAATAATCTTGTAAGTTGGTCAAAACTGACCTTGTTCCTATCTACTCTTAATAGTCAGCTGAGATTCCTCAGAGATCACTCTTGGGGATGCCTGTGAATCCTGTTGGCTTCTTTAGCTTTCCTCTACCAGTGGTGCCATGTGCCAGGACAGGTGAGGGTCCTGTTGATCATATATGGCTTCTCTTAGAAATATCAGGTACATTTCCATCTCCAATGACCTTCCTCTTTGCAGAATGTGCACTGCACCAGGCAATTTACCAAAAATATTTTTAGGCCCCATAATAATTTTAAAATTGATTTTGTAATCGTATATATATGTTTACATATGAAGAAATTGTGATTCAAAATTTAAATATTTTCCTAAGATCACACAGCTAGGTAATGTCATAGCCAATATTCAAGTCTAGATTCTGATTCCAAAATCAATGCTTTTTCTTCTTTACTCCCAAGGATGAATACCACTGCCATCAGGTACAATATAGATGTTTCTTATTAGAATCCTTCCCACAGACATATTCTTTAAGGGTAGAGCAGTTGGCTGTAAAGATATATTGATTAAAAAGTTTACCTACACTTTCAACTATTCTAACAAAACCAAGGCTTTTATTTTTAAATCATAAGGAAGCTTCCAAAATAACTCTTCTAACTTAATGGGGAATTGACCTTAAGAATATGCTGACACATCTAAACAGGGCACAATGTTAGAAGAATATACACCAAATTTAAAAAGACATGTGATAAGTATATGCTACAGATAGAAAAGTTATTACACACACACACACACACACACACACACACACACACACACACACATTAAAGCTGCCCTGGGGATGTCCAGCAGTGGATATGAATTGACAAAAACCCAAGAAGTAAGGTAAATAATCAATACTTACATGGAATATCTCTTGGGTGGTAATAAGAAAAAAAATGAAAATAAAAGCCACCTTGAAGTATTATTTTAACTTGTCTCAAAATGTAAATAATTTTTAATTATAAACATTGTTAATCAATGGTGCTGAATTTTGTTCAAAACTTCCATGCTCAATATGACATAAATATATATAAAATTTAAAACAAAAGGCAGTAAATTCCTAGAAGTTCAAGATAGTTTTCCTTTTGCCTATTAGTTCAACATATATATGGCAAAGTATCCTAAAGTGTTTGAAAAGAATAAGGACAAATTATGAAAATATTTCATTATAATTGTATTAGCAAAAAGTAGCCCTTTAGATAAAAGGGAAAAATTTTTTTAAAAATTTCATGATAAGAAAGTGGCTATATAAATAAGATATGTATATATAATCAATGAATTATTAATAGCTCATTATTTTAAATATAAAATATCACTTGAAGAATAAAAATGCTGATATGATTTTTAAGGGAAATGCATAATACTAAATAATTTGAACTGTGACAGCAACAATATAACATGTATATATATGTATAAAACTCAAGTTTCGTAGGAAAAATGAAGGTATTCTTTTTCCAGTGCTATGATAATGGAATGACAGAAATTTTGTTTTTACCTTTCCTTTAATATTGTTACAATATTTTCACAAACAGTATCCAAGAAAAATAAAGGGTATGGTTTCCAAACACATTAACCTTGAAATGCTTTCATTATGGTTTTCCTGTTTTTGCTTCTGTAAACTTTTCACCCTCTCTATGAAAAGCTGATATTGCAGACATGTGTTTCACTTCTCATGAGAACATGCTTTCAATAGTTTGTACAAACCCACAGGATTTCACAATCCCATATAGGTGCATTGACATTTGGTTGGAAAAGTAACTTTGGTGTAGTTTCTTTTTCTTTTAACTTTGGAAATGATAGTTAAAGGCACACTGGAAAGGTATGTGTTGTCTTCTGTCTGCCCTCCCTTGTGTATGTGTTTTAACGTTATTTTAAAAATTATAATAGTCAGAATAGAATTGAAAATATCTGGTAATTCTAATAATGAACACCTCTAAAGCAGAGTGAGGTCATTGAGGGTGATTTCTTTTTTAATTTCAGTTTACAAATTACATGCAATTCAGAGAAAAAAAACCCACTTTATCTTCCAATATGTAACAGAATTTAAAAAATATTTTCAAATTAATGAAATGTGAACTTTTCTTCAGGCATACACCAAGATATAAAATTTGGTCATCTTGCAAAATACTTTTTTTTCATCTGTGCAATTTTTTATATAATATAATGGATACTTCATAACTGTGAGAAACTCTCTGATTACTAACTAAAACAATGAAAATCCATATCAGGCACCTAACTTAGGTGAGAGAAGACACACAACAGTTAAGACAAATAAGGGAATTTTATTTGTGTTAGATGATGACACTTTTAGGAGGAGAAAAATCAAGACAGGAAGGGGAAAAAAAGAGGTATGATAATATGATATTTATTTTCTGATTTTCCACTATTGTTTCTGGTTCATACTTCCCTCCTGAATGCACACATAGGAACTCCACCTACCCTTAGTAGTGGGTCATAAGACCCTTATTATTCCACAGGGGTCCTTCCTACACTCTGGTGAGAGGATTGCTTCACTGAGAGGATTGCTTCACTGACAGGCCAAGAAGAATCTGAGTAGGCAGGCCTTGCTAGATTTCCTCACTCAGACTACCAGCCATCATGCCTACATGTGCAGCGAAGGGCAGATTTGTAAGAGCTTCCAGAGAGCTGAACATGTGCAGGTTCTTGGAGAGTGGAGCACCTGAAGAGAGCATGGAAGCTATGTGCCTCTTCTCCCATACCTTACCACATACATGTCTTCATCTGGCTGCTTATTGGTGTCCTTTTTACAATATCTTTTTCAATACACTGGTAAATGTGTTTCCCTAAGTTCTATGATCAGCTCTAGCACATTAGTCAAACCAGAGGAGGAGGGAGGTTATGGAAACCCTGATTTTTACTTGGTCACTCAGAAGTACAGGGGATACAATTGGGACTTGGGATTGACATCTAAAGCCAAGGTGGGGTAGGGGGCTATCTTGGGGAATGAGCCCTCTACCTGTGAGATCTGATGTGATCTCCTGGTAGATATTGTCAGAACTAAAATGGAGTAGAGAACCATCAGCTAGTGTTGGCTGCTGCAGAATTGCTTGCTTGTTGGTGAGGCAAAATCCCTACACCTCTGAGGTCACAGAAGTAACCTGTGTTGTGAGTGTCACAGGAGAATTTGAGTCTTGAGTGGTAGTAGTGGATTTGCCTTTTGTATGTTTATGAAGCAAAATGAGAAGGTTCTAATTCTAAATCTGATGCTCAGGAAAGGCCTCCTTTTGGGGGGAGCAGGGGAATGACATGATGTATCTACTGGAGAGAATCGCTTGGGAGACTGTGTGGAAAAGGAAGTATGGAGTGAAGACTGAAGTGGCAGATTGGAGACCTAATAAAATAGTGAGCAGGACGAAAGAGGATAAGACTTGGACAGGGTGATTGGGGGAATGGTAGAGTTGCAGTCAGCTTCTGAATTGGCATATGGCCAACAGGATCTGATGAGGAATGGCAGGTAAGAGAGAAAGAAGACCTCTAAGTCTGTTGTTTATGCCTTCATGCCTTTAACGTTAACTATTCTGCAATAATTTCACCCTCTAAGTGTGGAGCAGGTTAGAAATCTAAGTAGTCATGTTAGGCAGTTGCATATAAGGGTCTAGAGTTGAGTGGTCTGGGAAAGAGGTAAAAATGGGAGTGTTCCCACCCGTGTAGGTAGTATTTAAAGCAATGAACCTAGTAATATCACCAAGGGAGTGAATATGGAGATTAAGGGTTACAAGAACTGCACTCTAGCACACTGTGGTGTTAAGAGATGAAAAGATGAGGGGGAATACCTAGGAAATATTAAAACTCCACTCAATGTAGTGTCCCAGAGCATAATCAGCAAATCTCTTCTCAACAAGAACCATGAACATGACCAGCTTTCTGGTATACACACAAATCCTTTCATTTCATTTTATTTATTTATTTTTTGTGACATTTAAAAATTCTTTTGAATGATATACAAAATGGTATATTTTGACATATTTATATAAACATGGAGTATAACTTTTTAAATTAAGATCTCATTCTATGGTTGTACATGGTGTGGAGATTCACTGTGGTGTATGTCCATAGGAAAGTTATATCAGGTTCATTCCACTGTCTCCCCTATTTCTGTTCCTCTCCTTTCCCTTCATTACCCTTTGTCTACTTGCTGATTTCCTAAGAGTCTGTGTCTGCCTCTGTTAACCAAATGAAACAGCTCAAATCCAATATGGCAAGTCATGGATGTCATTGCATGTCTTGAAATTCTGTTATTTTCACCTCCTTCATGACCCTGACCACTTTTTTGCTCTACTTTTATGGTATCAAAAAATTCTCCCTTGTTTTTAGCTGGGTCTTCTTTTAGTCACCTATTTCTCTCTCTTGGGTTTTTGTCCTGAAAAAAGTACTTTCTTTTTATTGTATGATTTGATTCTCCTACATTGTTAAAATATTCCATTAGTAAACTTTAATTTTCTCCTCATTCTAAAAGCTCTTAGATTTTCCCCTTAATTTTCTATCCCGTTGTTACCATTCAAGATGCCTGGCTGAGGAGATAAAAATGAGCTAACATATAAAAATAAGGATAGATCACAGGAATGGATTCAAGGAGGTCAGTAGTTGTATATAAGTGAACATGAGTTGTGAAGGTGAGTGGGGTCTGGAAAAAAGCCCTGGCTTCTGGACTGAGTGACTGTCCCTCTAACTCTTTCTTCTATCTTGCCATATGCATGACTTTATCATGTGTTTCCACAATGAAATAAAATGATGATGATATAGTTATAATAATAGATCATATAAATGGATAACATGTCAACACTAAAAATCCTAGAAAATGAAAAGATGGGTTGGTGTGAAAATTGCACCATTATCTCTTTTTAAAAATCTGATTCTGAAACATGAGATTCAAGCTGGATAATTACTGGCTTGGTTGGTACACAGCAAGTAGTTCAAGTCATCAAAGTAGATGAGACCCCAGAAAGAATATATAGAAAGTAAGAAGAGAAAAGTAACAACAAAAAACACCAGCAATACGATGACAGCAATGTCTATACTGGGTCAATACCTAATTTCTTTTTATGGAAAAAAATATATATATCCTATAGTTCATGATGAACTGCACTACATTGTCCCAGAAAGAAAAAAAAATAACAGAACTATCATTACACCAGAATTGTCAAGGGGAATATTTTTAATTCATCCACCCACACATTAGATTTTGGTGTTCATCTCCCTTCCAGTCCCCTATACATGTCTGAGGTGTTACACAGACCAAATATGTTCATATAGGCTAAAGCACATATAGACACTGATTAGAGAATTTTCTTTCTGAAAATTTTAATGTCTTGCCAAAGAAACCTCAGTTTATAGATACAGGCATCTGTGAACATTTCTTATAAAATTCCAATTATTAATTTCTTATTAACTGAAACAATTATTATCATTAGTATAAGCTATAAAAAGATAGATCAAAACTTAAAGAAAAGCAGAACTAAATTTAATCTTTATTTCAGGGCAAAAGAGAAAAGACAAATGTTTAATAGACAATATTTATTATCACTACTGATATTAATCCAGGTTACTACAGTCAGAGCAAAAGAACATGTTATATTTTACTAATTTGTATAGTGACTTCAATATATTTTGGAAATCCAGATTGATTTATGCAATCAGAAAAATGAGAGAAGTCAATGAACAGGGTCCTGCCAGTTACAAGCTCTGCAGCCTCTCGCTTGGCTCTGTACCCTGAACTTCAGTTTGATGATGCTGATCAGCTTAAAGTGCCATGTTGTTCATGCCTTCATGCCTTTAACGCTAACTATTCTGCAATAATTTCACCCCCAATTTTTGCTTATTTTTTAAAGTGCTCCCCAAATGTCTTTTTTTTCTGTTTTTTTACCATGGTTACCTAGTTTCCCCAAAGAGTAAGTCAATACCTTTGGTATTATGCCTGTGCCTTCTTTGTTAAAAAAAATTATATATATGTATATATATGCATATATATCCATATATAAACATATATAAAAACATATTATGTGCATGTATATACATAGTTATATATAATATATAATATATAGATATATACACATGTGATATATCATGTGTATATATACAAATATATCACAATGCCAGGTGATTTTTTATAAAGAATACAGTCTTCCTAATTAGTACATAAATAAGATCTTTGGGTTACTAAGAGTATTCCATATAGATTGAGCTTGGCCTCCTCCTCAGTTGCACAGAACTTATTACAATGACTTGATATATAACCTGAAATAATATCAAATTGTGTAGATAAAAATACATTTATGCCTTGATAAAAGGCCAAGATTAGATCACTGCATCATCATCCTGGAAATTTTCATTTCCCTTTTCTTTAAAACATAACATGTTTAAGTTTTGTTATATAAGAAACATTCATACATGCTTTAAAGGCTCTCTTACACACACATACACACACATAAACACACACACAGTGATTTGAGAGATACTGCCACACAAAATTTGATTAATCTGTATTGTTGTTGAAACTCATGAAGATTTTTTTTTTCCATAAAAACTAATGTTATTCAGGATGCATGTAGCACAGTGATTCTCAAAGAGGGTATAAGTTTGGAAATATATAGAGTTGAGGTTTGTGTGGGGTAAGAGTTTTGCAAAACATTGGTGTTACAATAATTTAAGAGATATTACTGACATTTAGAGGGTGACAACCAGAGTTGGTAAATATTTACACAACTAAGATGGTCCCTAATTTAAAAAAAAAAAAGTTGTCCTAACCAAAAAACAAGCGACGTTTTCTTGAGAGAATTGCAGTGGGATATGGTCAAATCCAGTGGCTAAGTGGTACAGCCAAAATGCAAACAAACATAGGTTAGGAACAGGACAGAGGCAGTGTCTCAACAGTATAATTCAGTTCTAAGGAAGCTATCAAAAGACTAAGAATGTAAATTAGAAAAAGAAAAGCCATAAAATCTGAATCACAGACAAAAACTATTTGCCAAGAATCTATCAGAATAAGCACACCTCTTCACATTCTTATATTTCCCAAACATCCATCTTACCTCATACACAAAAGCAAAACTAATATATAAAACCAATGCCCTATGAAGCCAAATCATTCATTCAACAAATATTTATGAAATATATTCTATGTTCCAGGTTGTTTTAAGCATGTGAACAAAAACAGACATAATCTCTGTCCTTATGTAGTTCAGTTTAGAGATATTTTAGTCTTTGTTTTATGTTTTAAATTGATAAATAGATACTCTGGTAAGGAAAAACTGACTTACAAAGATATGCTTAATAAATTCAAACCAGACACTCTGATAAGAGGTCACAGGAAATATTTGTTCCAAATATGCATAGCTATTTGTTCTAAGGGAAATTATAATATTCTTTTCAGCCAAACAGTTTTTTGTCACTTGGGAAAAAAAAATTCTTTTATCTAAAAATCCTACCTCCACTCAAACTCAAAGACACACTATCTATAAACACGGAGACACGTTTGTGCATTGACAGATTCGCAAGTTCCACATAAGTCTCTTTATGGGAAAGTTAAAATTTATGTTTAATACATTGCTATATATGACATGTGTATTCATTTTACTAATAGTTATAAAATCAAATGTTAATTATAAATTTCAATTTGAAACATTAGGAAAAAAAAAACCCTAGCCAATTCATGTGAAATTAATATATTTTTCCATGTGTTTGATAGAAGTATGGAGCAGCTGGATAGCTTTCCTGACCAACTGGAGGACCTGGATACCTATTCAGAATCTGTGAAATTTGATGCTCGTTCAATGACAGCACTGCTTCCTCCCAGTAAGTAGAAAGGGGACAGAGTGCCTATGGGCAACAGGTAGCTTGTTTAGTTTTTGAGGGCCATGCTAACTGCCACAAATTGGGTAGCTTAAATTTTCCTCAATAGAAATTTTTCTTTCACAGACTTGAATTCCAGAAGTGTTAAATCAAGGTCCCTGGAAGTCTCTGCACCCTTGTAAAGGCTGAGGGAAAAATCCTCCCAGGGTTCTTCTCAGCTTCTCTTAGGCCCTGGCAATTCTTGGTATTTCTTGGGCTTCTCGCTCTATCAAACTCATATCTGCTTTCTTTTCCCCCCTGTGTAACTCTGCTCTTTTCTATTCTTGTAAAGACTCCAGACTTTAAGTTAGAGCTACCCTAGTCCAATATGACCTCATTTAAAAGAGAATATATTTGCAAAGACACTGTTTCCTATCAAGATTACTTCCTTGGGTATATGAGGTTAGGAGTTCAGCATATCTTTTGGGGGCACACACAATTTTGTGTGTGCCCCCAAAAGATATGTTGACAGATGAAATACATGTTTATTCAGGTTATGATAAAAGCTCAAAGTATTCAACTGTGTCAGGACAGAATTGTTTAGAATTCCAGTATGCCTTAAAGGATGAATATCTATATCCAAGGAAATGGAGAGGGAGGAGCAGTTAGAGAAAGCAGAACACACAAAGCTAAGGACTCCTACGTGAGTTTTTACTAAGGCAAACCTGGAATATAGCTCTCAACCCCAGCTGTGTGCTATGCTAATGATTGATGGGAGAAGGTGGCACCAGTGACATACACATTAAAAGATAATAGTAAAAGCAGCTATAAACAAAGATGCTCCATGATTGAGGAGGGAGGACAAAGGCATTGGGAGCAGGAAAAATAAGAGAAAAATCTGAGTTATTTAAAAGATAAACTACTCAGAACTTGTGATTAATAAATTGTACATGAGAAAGTGGATGGCCCACTGGCTTCAGGTTTAGTCAACCTGAACAATGGAATATTCCATCTTGCTTCTGTTATGGGTTATTCTTTTTCTTTTTCCAGCAATCTTTCCTTTTCTTTCCTTTTCACAATTTTTCTGCTCCTCTTGATCCTTCATAAAACATTATTGAACAACATGTCAAATTTTGTTTTTAAATTAGAAGTCAGTAAACAGAAAGGAAGTTACATTTTTATTGAACAATAAAAGAAATAGCCACAGAAAAGAAAATTTTAATGGATGTTTTATTCATCTAATCAGACAATTTGTCTTCCCAAACTACTGAGCTTCCCTTGTATGTTAATGTATTTCTACCACAATTATCTTTCCATTATGTGAATCACTGTTCCATATAAATGCATCAGGCTACAAAGTTATGGTTAATATGTTCTGAAATATCCAGAAGATAAGCTTCATTGATTCATTTCAAAATTTAGTCAGCATGTAAATTCTTTTATTTCATTTCAAAAATAATTTTGATATTATATTCAAATCATAGAGGTAAACAAATACAAAATTATTGAGATGGAATTGATAAAGAAATATTTTGCCTAGTGGTCATTGAAAGTAAATATTTCTCTAGTTTCAAAATATGAAAAAAATCATAATCATGTTGCTTGAGGAATTTTATTTGACCCAGAATATATTCCCATGAAGAAGAAATATGAAGAAGAAGAATATTTATGCCAACGTATGTTAGTACCAATATTAAAATTTACCAATTAATCCTCCCAAATGACATAATCGAACCTTGTAGAGGGGAGTAACTTTCTTTTGGACTTTCAGTAAATAGATAAGTGAATCAAGTGTTCATAGTCACACCTGAATCAGCTTTTCCTATGACTGTCCCTTTGTTTGGTACAGAGTAACTAAGAATCTAGTTTTCCTTTGTTTGGTTACAATAGGCTTGGTCCTAATCATATAACTAGAGATTATAAAATTTTAATCACATAAGAGCAGAAAGTTTTCTAACAATAGTTTTGGCTTTTGTGTTTTTTGTAGATCCTAAAAATGGCCCTGCCCTTCAAGAGAAACTGAAGTCCTTCAAAGCTGCACTAATTGCCCTTTATCTCCTTGTGTTTGCAGTTCTCATACCTATCATTGGAATAGTGGCAGGTATGGAATTCTAGAATATTGAAAATTAGCAATTCATCTTGTGAATTATTAAATGTAAAAAAACAGCATTCAGTTTTCTTTTAATATGGTAGATGCATAAGGAAAAATTCATGTGTAATTATTTCCTCAAGTTTGTTAAATTAAAAAATAGATTCTGTGCAGCCATAGTATAGAGATATTCCTTATTTATTTTTCCTGTAGTAATTTCCAAAAGTAAGCCCTAGAATCCATTTCAAATAACCTGCATTTGTAATCACACAAGAAAACTATAACACATTATGGGGAAAGAAAAAGGCAATTTTTAAAAAATAAAACCTTTTTGTTTTTTCTTGAAATAAAAAAAATAAAAAATAGATTCTGAAATGTTAAGTGGAAGCAAATAGATATTTTTCAAATTAAGAAAAAAACAGAATATGAAAGAATAAAATAAAACATAAACATGTGAAGATGGGAAGATTTTTAAAAATCTGTTACACTCCGAAGTTCTATGTATATAGGACTAGCAATGGACCATAAATTTCATTGCCGATGTGAACTATTCTAGTTGCCAATGTGAAGACAAACATGATCATTTACACTGACAATGAATTTACCATTAAAACAAGGCTGTTGTTCAGAAGATCTTCTAAGTCTAATACTGAGAGCAGAAAGAAATATTCCCACTATAAAGCAGTGCCTTACACCTACTTTTTAGGTGCAGTTTTTATAATTAACATGATCTCATACTTCATGAGCTATTACTTAAAATATCTTTAAAAATAACATATTGGCATCCTTTCACATCGAGCTCAAGTATATATTCCTTTGGGGAGTCTGACTTGGATTGGGAATAGATTTGAGGATATTGACAAAGGCAAATGGCTTGTATGTAGTTTATATATACATGTAAATATTTTTCTCCTAAATAACATTTTTATGAATTTGATGAATTTAAATTGGCATTTAAATTTATATGCCTTGTTGCTGTCCTCTTCTTTATGGCTGGGAAAACATATGGTCATATGTTCTGTCAAGAAATAAGTTTGGAAGAAGATGCATTTTTATGGCTATATTAATCAGCTTAACAAGAATATACTCCTGAATAAAAGTTCAAACTTCTTTTATTAAGAGGCAATGTAAGAGGGTATTCCAAAACAAAGCCAAAATTCCATACCAAAAATATAATACAGCAACAACAACAATTGTAATAGCCCCTGTCATTTTTCTTTTTTAAACATTTACTGTGTTTAGTTACTAGGCTAAAAACTCTCCACAAATTTTCTTACTATACCCTTATACTTTAAGCAGATGCTATAGTGTCCTCATTATCTGTACAAGAAAACTGAGATTCCTCAGTAATGGAGCTGGAGTTCCTATGACTTCTGAATTCTAACCTCTATGGTCTGCTGTTTCTCTAGGTTTTTATAACAAACTTGAATGGTCAGTAAAAATAAAAATAACAATAGCAACACAATGAGTTGTGATAATTTTAGCCAAGAAAATGGTTTCCTCAGGAAAAAATTATCTGATATTTTAGCCATTAAAATACAAATGAAAACAGAAATTGAACCATAACATCCAAACCAACAAGTAAATGCACTATATTCATCTAAATTAAAGGATTTGATATATCTAGCAGTAAAAAATCAACTTCCTGATGAGAAATAGTTATCTGTATGCTATTTGTACATCTGCTTATCTCCAATGTGAAATGCATAACTGAAAGATGCATCACTGTTTGGGATTACTAACTACACCAAAAATTGGATACATTTTATTTTTTATATAAATCACAGACTACAGAGCCAACCTCAGGAACTGAAGCTTCTGACAGTTCCATGCAGAAGGCAGGCAGGAATCTAAAAAGATTTCAGGGATTCTGATCAAGGTCCAAATACCTAGACTATTAGAAAGCACTGTAAGTGTCAACATATTTGCTCTAGAGTTGATAACAATTGATCTGAAGTAGTTTGTTTCCTAAAATCACAATAGGCACCTATTAAGATTGAAGAGAAGCTAATATATTCCAATATTATTAGTTTGCATCAGTACCAAATCCATGAGAATTTGGAACAGAACTCACTGTATCTGTCATTTATTCATAATAATAAAATATTGATAATCCATTTATAACTCAAAGTTGTAGATCAGAATATTTTAAAAATGAACTAAAATATAGTACATATCTCCACTTGACAAAAAATATATTAATATAGACAAAATATATGCCTAAGTTAATAAAAGGTACTCCTTTTGGAAAATATGAATTAATGAGCCCAAACAATAATTGCACGTGAAAACTAAATGTCCTCTTAGTTATACAGTTTATTCCATATGCTTTCTGTCCTTAAAGAAGCTGCTGAAACATTGTAAGAGCATAACACATAATGCTTTCCCATAACAATAAAATACAACCTAGAATTGATGTGTATAAATTGCTCCTGAAATACTAAAAATTCGTATTCAACACAATATAAATTTTGGATAGGAAAAGATATTACCAACACGAAAAGAGTAAACATGATCTGTAGAATCAAATATAACCCTCTCCCTAGATCTTTGCATAGGCCGTAAAAGTTTGTCTTCTTTCATATATGAAATAGGAAAGTCACAAAATGCCAGTTCTTTAATAAAAATGAAAGAAATGAACTTCTGAAAAGGAATGAACTCTGACCTTCTTTATGATAGCATTAAACATTTTTAAAGAAAGGAAAGTGTAAGTTAGTTTCATTCAGGTTAAGGAATTAATCAATGTTGTGTTTTTAAATCTATAAGCAAAAGATAAGTCTTTATTGTCAACTCTTTTTCAACTTGTTGCCAAATTGTTGACCTTTTCCAAAATTAGTTCTTCTCTTTCCATACAGTGAAAAAGACTAACGTTATCTGCATGAAACAAATTTTTTTTCATTAAAGCAAAATTACATGGTGAGCAATTAGAGTAATTCACCTAGTAAAATAAAGCACAGTGACTACTATATTCATGGGAATATCCAATCCCAGAAAAATTTTTATATTATACAAAATTAATTTTCTAAAGTTAATCAGTATGAAGCATATAGATAATTGGATCACATATATTGAGTTAAAAATTATAATGACAAAAACCCTCAAACTTATCCAATGCCTATTACATGCCACAAAGTGGTCTAAACATTGTATATTTTATTTATGTAAACACTGAGATAACACTAGATAATATTCCATTTAAACAGATAGCAAAATAGAAGCACTGACAAATTAAATAACTTGTTCAATGCTTGTCTACTTTATAAAGGGCAGAATCAGAGTTGCTAATGATGTAAGTTCTACTTCATAATCCAATCAACTGCTACCCAAGAAGTAATAATTATCATAAAAAGAAACAAAAAGAAAATTTTAAGAGGCCATCCAAATTTTTTCCCATATTGAATTTAATAAATGTAATGAGATGTGGCAAAGAAATACATTTTTATGTACAGTTTATTGATAAATAAAGAAATACAGAGTAACACACATTTAATACAGCCTCTATTGTATATCATATTAAAACATTTTACCTGAAGTTTATTAATTCAGGTAAGTTGATATTGAAGAACTGTAACCAGGAAAAATATAACACATTTCTAAAAATTAAAATTGCATTGCGTATAAAATATAGCATTTCTCAATATAATATTTAATATACTATATATTATGTTATATATAAAATATAGCATTCCTCAATATAATAATAGCAACAATCATTACACAAAGTTTTAACTAAAGGTAGTGGCTACAATGAACTCTATGACAATATCTTTTATGCAGAAGGCATTTTGTAATTGAATAGATTTGAAATATGGTCCCATTTGCTGCTATGGGATTTACATGCTTTATTTCACCAGATTCACCACCACAACTAAGGTAAGTATCTCTTTTGTATCTTTGAGGAAATCTAAGCAAGATACTCTTTTTATTGTTCCCTACTGTCATATATGGACAATCTGATGCATCCAAACTAACAAGAATGGGACTAATATTTGTGTACACGAAACGTCTACATTTATGGAGATATAAGTATACATATATGGAGATATAAATATACATAAGATACAAAGAACCATTGCAATTTAGTTTTAAAATGACATTTAACATTTTTTCATTGTGTATAATTGTGTATTATTTTTATCTGCAAAGTTAATGCTTGTGATTTATTTTTCTTCTTTCCTTTTAAACAAAAGAGCATATTGCTTTAGATCATTTTGGAATGATAATTATCTTGTTTAGAGAACATATGCCCATTTGGAAATATGTATCAGCAATTCAGTATGTTCCCCAAATGTCATTTAATAGCAATTTTTTTCTTCAGTAAATAATTTATCACAAGATTGTTCATCAAAATACCAGATACATTACTGGAAACAGAAGCAAACTAAATGTAGGTGGGTTATTAAATAAATCTGAGAGACCCATTCATAGAATACAATGTAGTTAAGAAATTATTTTTGTAAAACAATATTAAATAATACTAAGAAATGTTTGTGATATTGCATTAAATTTAAAGTAGCTTCCAGATTTATATAAAATATTTTTATTTCAAATAGTAATACGATAGTAGAAACAGAGAACAAGATTTGATATCTATACATCAAGATATTAGGAGTTTTACTTAGAATAGTAAGATGAGGATAAATTATTTTTTCTTATTATCCATATTTTCAAAATTTCTGCTGTGAATATATACTTTATAACAGGAAAAGAAGAGTTTGATGAAAACAATATATTTTTAAAATGTAAGAAAGTCATTTTCCCAGTTTGCTTCTCCACCAACTGGGAGTTGAACCTGTGAAAACTAAAATGACAATTCTCTGTCAGCTTAAGCTATAGGATGAAGGAGATGAACAATTAATCCACAAAAAGGATGATGCTCCTGCTTGTGCTTCACCTTTAACTACATATTATTTTGGTCAACATCATAGCTAACTTGTCCAACCTGCTTACCTCAGAAAATATGTTGAGCATTATCTCATTATATCCTAACAATAGTCTGTGGAGCATAATATAACAGATGTTTATATTTTTTAGAATGTTCTCTTACTGGAAAAGCTAAATTTAATGGCCAGGAAGCTTCATATAAGCAGAAATTCAGAAATAATGACATAATCCTGGAATAAATTCTTATGTAAAGAGGGAAAGGAAGGCTGTGTGCTACTCAGTAGTATACTATTATTCACATGTAGCATTTTTAAAATAAATGCAGGGTTTAGGCTATTATCCCACATGCAATGAAAATAAAGGAAAGGAGTTAAATGGAGTAATATAATGTATACTTTTAAGAACACAGGTCATGACTTTATTAATTTTTACTTAAACATGCAGCTCATCTCCTGAAGTGGGAAATGAAGAATTGCACAGTTGATCCAATTAATGCAAATGATATATCTCAAAGTCTGGGACAAAGAAATGGCAGTGAAGCTAAAATGAAATTTCAAGAATTTGTAATGGAAAGCATGGTCAACATGGAGAAGAGAATCCAATCTATTTCAGATTCAGAAGCCAATCTCATAAATTCAGAACACTTCCAAAATTTCAGTGTGACAACGGATCAAAGATTTAATGATAGTCTTCTCCAGCTAAATAACTTGGTTTCCTCAGTCCAGGAATATGAGAATACAATAGGTGAAATCTCCAAGTCCTTAATAAATCTGAATAGCACCTTACTTGATTTGCAGCTCAGTATAGAAACACTGAATGGCAAAATTCAAGAGACTACTTTGAAACAACAAGAGGTAAGAATTATTGTATTTGAAGGCCATTTTCTGGAATTAAATCTATCCAGATTCTGTTTCTTCGGGCAGTCCAGGACAAGGAGAGTTGCAAACTCTGTTTCTACATCATCGTCTTTACCTTGGCTCCTCTGGCAATCTTTTCTAAAGGTTTCAAGTGGATTTATCTAGTGCCTTCTCCATACTCCCAGCAAAAGGGATAATTATCTTCCATTAGATGTGGTCTCTTTAAAGGTATTTTCGTTTTATAAACACTATTATAGTGTCTTGTTAGGTTGTCTAAAGCAATTGTAATTTTTAGATTATTTTAGCAGACCTGAAGAGGTAGACACCCTGTATTTGTAAATTTTATATAGACCTAATGTTTTATCATTCAAGAATGGAAACCTTATTTACATGGGTATTTTTTTTAAAAATCAAATTTCAAAATAATTTATTTTGCCACTCCCAAGAGGTACACTCATGTTCTTATAAATAATTATATAAAAAACTAAATTTTGAGTAATTTATATAATGTTATCTTCATAAGCTCATAATAGAATAGTAATGTATGCTTATCATTATTGTTGGATTAAACATGCTAACTTTTCTACTTCTACATTATGATATTCACTGATCATTGGGAAACAGCAACAAGAAAAGCACTAGCATAACGGGGCTGGAGAATGATCAGAGAGTCCCCTATAATAAGAGAACAAGACATAGTACAGACCAGTTATCATCAGAATTTCTCTATCAAAGATCAAGTGGCAATATTTTAGCTTGTAAGGACCACACAATTTTTTGTCTCAACAAGCTGATGCTGCCATTGTCGAAAGAAAGCAGCCATTAGCAACATGTAGAGAAATGAGCAAAAGCTGTGATAAGATCAATATTTATTTACAAAAATAATCTGTTGGTTAGATTTTGCCCAAGGACTATAATTTTTCTGTCCTTTGCCCTAGACCATTCCATGGTTAATTCTGTCAAAGATCTATGTTACTCTATACTTATGAAAAAAATTAAGAAATAAGTCATCAATTCTAAAATTTTATTTTTATCCAGTAATACCATTTGTTTATTTTCATGAACAATAAATGTTTGACCTAAACTTCACTACTCACTTGAAAAAAATAATCTTCATATTATAAAATACCTAAGGCTTATGCTCCTTATAGGAAGCCTGTATTTTTATCATTAGTTAAGAAATGCCAGCATCATTGGAGTGGATTTTATTTGAGTAGATCCATTCTTGATTAATGTGATTGTTTTCTGTATAAACATATTACAACTCCTGATTTTAGAAAATGGACATCACTAGTCCAGCAAAGTTAAAAAGTTACCACTTTGGATGAACACCAACTAAACTACTGACTGAGAATAAACAAGTTAAGAAATAATGTTCTGCACATTTATAATTTGTAAGATTCAATCATTCTAAACTTTTTTTAAAAAATTTTCCTCACCTTAAGAATGTCACAAGACAATGGCATGAGTGTTTAAATATGGGAACTCCGTTGGCAAGCCTCATTTCAATACCAGCCTTGATGTCCTGCTCCTCTTTCATGTCTTTCCTTCTCAACCCTGCCAGTGTTTTTCTCAGCCATTAATAAGGATCTGAGCACATCAAGACAGACTGGGATATCAAAGATTCAAGATAACGGGAGCGGGTAGTGAAAGACACAAAGAAGAAACCTTCCAGAGAGTTGAGGGACACAGGAGACAGACATGAAGATGAAATGTCAGTTACAAGAGTCAACTTAAAGTTGGAGAGAAAAGAACTATTATTTTATGTAGAAACAGGATTAGAGGCTCACGGGGGTGAGGTGAGAGGAGAGAGAAGCTAGACAAGATGAAAGAACAAAGACACAAAGTACATTTGGCAATGTACTAAATCCAGCAGAGATGATAGACTGTATTTGAACCCACTGTTAGTGAGGTATTCTAACCAAATTGAAAACTTTTTGAATGAAGTAGACATTCTGGACATATTTGAAGTGATAATCATTAGAATCAAAGCCTCATAATCAATAAGCTTTTCTTAGTTTGGATAGATTGCTTTTATATTTTTCAGGAAGTTTCAGCCTTCCAAAAGGGGGTGCAAATAAATAACTGCAAAATCCCCAAGCTACATACATTTTTAAAGGTAGCAGTCACTTGCAGCAATTGAGACACAAAGTTGGTAAGGCGGTGCCATTGAAAGTGCTTGCATATGCATGCATGTGTGCTTGGAAAACAACCTTGATGCTTTGATCCCCGTTGCTTGAATAATTTTATTGATCTTTGAATCTTGATCTTTTTTCCTGTGGTGCTGGGGAGGGAATCCAGTGCCTCACCATAGTAAGTAAGCATGCTACCACTGAGCTACACTCGCATTACTGATCTTTGATTCTGTAGCCCAAAGAGGGAATAGGCAATTAAATGAATGGCCAATCAGCAAATGCTGTTTGTTGAAAATGCTTATTGGTAATACTCTCTTACTATCAAGGATGACCAAATATTGATTTGAAAGGAAAAAAAAAAAAGAGTACTGGTACCATATGAAAGAGAGTGTGGAATTTATCATCTCCATTTTTCGAGGAAATGACTTTAAGATGAAAAAATTACATATCCATTTTTATCAGGGCCACTGTTGATAGAGTGTGGAGAGTATGCATGGATATCCTCAAAAAATACTTGCAAAATTATCAAGCATACTGTGAGGATTTTTAAAAAATCAAATGCATTTTCCATCATTTGAATGTAAATAATTCCAAATGAAACTTGTTAAATGTGAGCATCATGTGCAGATTCTTTTTAAAGTGAATAAATATGAATAAATAGGTAGCTTCAGCTTTAGTATGAAAAACGATTGATTCTAGGTATCTAGGAAGTCAAATTGCTAGTTCTCTGACCTCCGCTCTGTGGACTTCTGAAATTATCTGACATATTTCCATCAATTTTTAGCCACTTAATACAGTTGAGCTTATCATGTTACTATAACAGACATTTCATCATTCTATCTTTATTATATGTACCATTTTGTATGAAAAATGCTAAATGGCCAGGGAAGGAGGACCTGGAGGGTAGAGCTATTCTAATGTACAGCAAGGTGCCTGTTGGAGGGAGACATAGCTTGAACAGACAGGATATTCTCCTTAAGAAAAGTGCCATTGGAGAGGGAAATCTGGGTAAACCTTTGTTTCTTGATCCTCACCATCTTGATCCTCTCATCTCCATTTGTCCAGTCCAGTCCAGAGAGATATAAATTTATTTTAATGCATGGAGAAAGAAATAATATGCTACTGGCTTGTTTCTATGTGCAGAGGGAAAATAATAATCTATCAACAGTTGAACATGGAAATACTTGTAAAATCATAAAGCATACCATGAAGACAGGATGGGATAAGTGCAGAAGAGAAAAAAAGAAAATATTACCATAACACATTAGAAGACTTGGTGCAACAAAAATAGAACCTAATGCTTGAAGAGAAAAGTCAGCAAAGAATCTGAAAGAAAAAGTAATAAAGAAAAGCATTAAGGGTCAGGAACTTGATACTTGGATACTATAATTTCATTATAGTTTGAAAAGCAAATTAAGTCACAGTGATTTATTATGTATCTGTTCTTACTCTCCAAATTTAAATATGTTGATGGTACCTAGTATTTGAATGCAAAAAAATGAGTACTGATACAAAAAAGTTAGGAAGAGAATTAATATGGTAACATGCATTTAGAGGGCAGTGTTGCAGTATTGAATAAAAATTTTAATGTTTTATCCCTTTGGTCAAATCTACTTCCAGAAAGCTGTTATATAGAACCTGTATGAAAATGTAAATGTATAAAAAATGGTATTCATTGCAGCATTGTTTAATGTTGTAAAAAGGGGCACAAGCTCTAATCAATAAGAATCTTAATTAAATTTTGAAAAATACACCCAATATGGTTCCACTGTTATTGGAAGTGTCAGTTTTATAGACTCTAGTAGGTAAATTTTCGTAGTATATCATTGCACAAAGATAAAAACATATTCCAGAGGATAGTATTCTCTTCTCACATTTTCACACATTCTGTACATGTATACACATACATGTACATAAATATGCACAAAATATATATGTATTTGATACTGTAAAATAATAATGAAGTCTCAATAACAGAAGTATAAATAGTGGAAAGTTAAATGCTACTCAATTGAATGTAAAAAAAAATCTATTCAATGTTCATTACCACTGACAATTACAACATTAAACTTTGGTTATTGCTGCAAAACAATTTCATACATAAAGTCATAAAATAGAAATAAGTTGCCATTCTAAGTACGCTCAAAAGAAATTCCACTTCAGATAAATTATTCTTCACATTTTGATATGTACATATTTGGAAATAGAAGCATAACTTAGATATATATTCAAATGATTTTTTGTTGTTATTTTTGACTGGGCACGTAAAAATTTGTCCATATAGTCAAAACAAGAAATGCTTTGCAACCAAAGAATCACTATTTTAAATACAGTCTCTTTAATTTTCATGTTCTTATTTCATAATATTCCTATAATATGTGGTATAAAAACAGAAATTCCAAAATTTCTTGAACTTACATATTTGATAATTTTGTAACAAAAGTTGTGAATGCTCACTATGTTTTACAGGAAATCAATAAATTAGAAGAACGGGTACACAACACATCAGCAGAAATTAAGTCTCTAAAAGAAGAACAAGTTTATGTGCAACAGGAAATAAAAAGAGAAGTGAAAGTATTGAATAACATCACTAATGATCTCAGACTGAAAGACTGGGAACATTCTCAGACATTGAGAAATATCACTTTAATTCAAGGTAAAATGTCTTGTGAGTCCTCCAAATGACACCTTAAAATGCACTGATATACATAGAGATTTGATTTTCAAAATGCAGTGGTTTAAAATAGTTTTCAAACATACATACATTTCCTACATTTCTGCACAGCAGATAGAATCTTAAGATTAGATCAAGACATGGTAAGATAATCAGAAGCATCAGTAGCTTGGTATCCTTGATAAAGGGATAAATAAATGAAATACTTCCTAAGATCCAACAAGCCTTTCACTGTTGAAATTGCCCCATTTATACTGAAGAACAGTGTAAGCTTTTCTGTCACTACAAAGTTCTCTACATGTTCATAACCCAAACTTGTTAATCCTGTCGGTCAATATTTCCATATTTTTCTTACCTTTTACGTTACTATATAATTAATTAGGAACTTTGTTTGAACTCTCCAAAATAGTGATAATTTGTCAATTTCTTCTTTAGTTCTCATTAGTAAAGCAAGGAGAATTGGATCATACTGATTTTTGAATAATATAAGTCACTTTAATTTTACACTAGCTTTTAGGTATTTTTACAGCATAAATATTAGTCCATATTTTGCTTCAACTTTTGATATCCTTTGCTCTAGCTTTGTCATTTGTAAAGCACATTTATCTTTTTTTTTCTTAATCTTTTTTGGTTTGCTTGTTTAATACAATGTGATAATTTCTTTTCACTTTATTTATGTTTATCATCTTATTTGTTCTTTTTAGTTATACTTGACAGTAGAATGTATTTTGATATATTAGACATACATGGAGTATAACTTATTCTAATTAGGATATTATTCTTGTGATTGTACATGATGCTGAGATGCCTTGGTAGTATATTTAAATACAAGGGTAAGAAAGTTATGTTCTATTAATTCTACTGTCCTTCCTATTGCCCTCCCCCATTCCTTCTCTCTTTTTTTTCCCCTGTATCTAATCCAGTGGACTTCTATTCTTCCTCTCCCCACCCTCCCTTGTTGGAGTTAGCATTCACATATCAGAAAGAATATTCAGCCTCTGTTTTTTTTCGGACTGGCTTATTTTACTTAGCATGATATTCTCTAGTTCCATCCTTTTACCACTAAATGCCATAATTTGATTCTTCTTTACAGCTGAATAATACTCTGTTGTGTATATATACCATGTTTTCTTTATCCGTGCATCCATTACATGATCATCTCATAATTATCTCATAGTTTGGCTATTGTGCACTGAGCTGCTATAAACAGAGATATGGATGTGTCACTCTTGTATGCTGATTTTAAGTCCTTTGGGTATAAGCTGAGGAGTAGGTTAGCTGGGTCAATTGGTGGTTCCATTCCAAGTCTTTTAAAATGGATAGTATCCATACTGCTTTCCATAATGGTTGCACCTATTTGAAGTCCCACTTGCAAAGTATGAGTACCTTTCTCCCCACATCCTTGCCAAAACATATTGTTGTATGTATTCTTTATAATTGCCATTCTAACTTCAATGAGATGGAATCTCAGTGTAGTTTTAATTTGCATTTTTCTAATTGCTAATGATGTTGAACATTTTTAATATATTTTTGACCATTTGTATTTTTTCTTCTGTGAAATGCCTTTTAGTTCCTTTGCCCAATTATTGGTTTGGCACTTTTTTTGTGTGTGTTATTTTTTGAGTTCTTTTTATAACCTGGAGATTAATGCTCTGAGCTGCAGGTGGTGAGAATTTTCTCCCATTCTGTAGAGTGAGTGTTCACATTCTTGATTGTTTCCTTTGCAGTGAAGAAGTTCTTGAGTTTGACACCATCCCATTTATTGAGTCTTGATTATACTTCTTGTGCTTCAGGAATCTTGCCAAGGAAGTAGATTCCTAGGCCGACAAAATGTAGTGTGGGGCTTACTTTTTCTTTTAGTAAGCTCAGAGTTTCTGGTCTAAAGCCTAGGTCCTTGATCCACTTTGAGTTTTGTGTAGGGTGAGAGCATAATTCACCACATCAATATACTTAAAGACAAGAATCGCATGATTATCTCATTAGATGCAGAAGAAACATATGACAGAATTTAGCATCCATTCATATTCAAAACACTAGAAAAACTAGGGATAGTTAGAAGATACATCAACATTATAAAAGCTATATACACTAAACTTAAAGCCAACATTATTGAAAATGGAGAAAAATTGAAAACATTCCCTCTAAAAACTGAAACAAACAGGAATAACATCTTATATTTATATTCCCCAGCCACCCTCCACCCCACAAGTTTGTTTTATGTTTCCTTTCTTTTTCTTTCCTCTCTACTTTGGGACTGACATGAGGTTTTTGTGAAAATTTTGTAGTGTATTTTTGTCTTCTTGATTGTTGCCTGCAAAAGTTATTCTAACCCTCTAAAGTCAATCATCAACATATTACTATACAAGGAAACAAATGTTTCATCTGATGATCTCCTTATGGTTTCCTGCTGTCTCTTAATGTAGCTATTTCTGGTTTGTTTTTGTGTTTTTTGTTGTTGTTGTTTTTGCTAGAAATTTAGTCATTGTTTTTCTTACTTTATACAGGCAATATTTATTGATATTTGTCTATGAGTTTACCAATTGTTCCACCTTCTCAATCTCAGCCATCCATTCTGATGTCATTTTCCTTCTGTCTAAATATATATCTTTTAGAAATTCATTTAATGAAAATCCATTGATGGTGAGAGGTTTTGTTTGCATTTTCTCTATTTTATTCTTGATATTTAAGATTGTTTTACTATACACGGATTTCTCAGGTTGACAGTTATTTTGGTTATTTTTGTGTTATAGTTGTTGGTCAGCATCTATGAGGTATTGGTTCTTTCAAGCAAAATGGTGGATGCTCAGCTGAATATGTAAACTGGCTTAGGATTTGTGCGTAACTTATGTTCATTCTCTTGTATAGTTTAAATCACTTCTAGATTGTTTATAATACTTAAAACAATGCAAATTCTACATAAACGTTGTCATACTGAATTGTTTAGGGAATAATGTCAAGAAAAAAGTCTTTATATATTTAGTACAGATGAAAAATTTGGGGGGGGGGTGGTCAGTTGGTTAAACTCACACATGCCAAACCTAGGGATATAGAACGCTGACTGTGTTTTGAAGAAATTGCTCCCTTGGCTTCTGGGCTTTCCTTGTTTCTCTTAAAATGACTGCTAGCAATCTGCTTATCCCTCTTTGTCTTTAATAGCTGTAAATTTATTAATTAGTGTGTTTTTTTTGAGAATTTATTTCTTTGAAATTTGTTGTATTTCATACATTTGGGGATTACTTGAGAATTTATTCATTTGATATTCATTTTATTTTCTATATTTGGGGATTAAAGCCTGTCATTAAGTTGAGAACATTATCACCTTCAACCCATTTGACTATTGCTGTCATGGTTTTCTGTCCTTTTCTCTGTCCCTTCAATTAAATTCTATCAAATCTTCTTACTCTGTCTCCCATGTGTGTTAACCTCGGTTTCATAATTTTAGTCTTCTCATTAGTAATTAAAGGAACAGAAATGAGGCACTCCATGATATTTCATTTTACGTATGCTAGTTTAGGAAAATTAAGAAATCTGGTAATCCAAGTGCTGACAAGATAAAAATTAAAAGAAATTCCAGATGAATAGAGAATATTTTTTGTTGTTAATGCTTATAATTTGGCAAAAGTAAATAATGTATATTTACACACACATACATGCATAACAAAAATGGTTATTTTAAAAACGGAAGCAAACAAGAAACACCAAATTCAGGTTAATCTTTATCTCTGGAAAGGAATTAGGTAAATGAAATGAGAAAATACTTAAGTAGATACTTATATATTGGATTGCGACTTTGAAGGGATATTATCTTTATTAATGCACTTTGTATCTTATATAGAATACATATTATATGTGTTCTTTAATTATGACATTAAAATAGATGATAGAGAAAAATTTGAATTGATCGGTGTTCTAACAGTTTGATACCTCTACTTTGGATTTCAAATGAATATCCAAAACTTTCAAATTCAAGACCAAACCCTTGACTTGACCAGTCCACCTGTCTTCACCCTCTCAAATCCATTGCTTTTCCAGGTTTATTTATTTATTTATTTTGTCAATTATAGCATTTTCCAACTAGACTCTCATTCAAGAACCTAGAAAGTTACTTTTGCCCTCTCTCTTGTTCTCTTCCGTTATATAATCCACCCACAAATCCTCTTAACTCTTATTACATATGATGTTTCTAATAAAACTCCTCAGTAATCACTGTCTCTACAGCAATTTCTATACTACTCTATTACTAATACCATAATTTGAAGGACCATATTCCAATTGAGTGCAGTATATCAATCTCCCAATTTGTTTCCTAGTCCACTATACCAATTCTACAAAAAACAAATAGTACTATTTTTAAAAATAGCCCCCCCCCCCATTATTTCTGTCTTGTTTTCTAATCTTCCCTCCAGCATCCCTTTGTGTAGCTTGGATAGGTGGAAGAATGAAGTTCCCTGAAGATGTAAAAGTTGAGAAGAAGGAAGTGTGAGTTTAATTGCTTGCCATCCACAGTGAGCGCTAGACTCCTTCTTTTGCTATCAAAATATTGTTTTGTGTCTCTCCACTCTCTTGTGGCTCCACTTAAAATCAGCTTTATACTGACGATTTCCTCTGATTCCCCCTTTCACATTGCTACCCTCCAACTCTCTATGCTATTATTATTTGCTTAGACTTATAATAGCAGTTATTATTGTATACATTATTTCATACATGTTTCCCTATGTGTTTACCATGACTTCCCCACTAGAATCTAAGCTTCTTGGTTGGGTTCTGTCTCTTCCATCCCTGCACACCCAACACCTGTTAGAGTGCTCATGTCATTGTCCAGGTAGCTGCTCTCTTCAAGATATTAGAATATCTTTGCCTTCTCTCTTGCTCTCATGGCCTGTAAATCCATCGGTGAGTCCTCTTAACTCTTTTTGCATTATATATTTCAAATAAAACTCCCAACCACCTCTATGACAGTGGATGAGCAGTTATAAACTATG